CCATCTTCAAAGGAACTACCTGGGGTGACTGGAAAGAGGTGACCTTTAGAATAGCCCAGTCCTAGCCAAACTAAGAGAGAAAAAAGTTTTTGTACTGGATTAAATCTCTAAATTCAATTACACCACAACTGCATAGGCAGGTCCTACCTCTGGTAATTCTATATTATCACTTGGTCTCTCCTGAATGTCGTTATTGTGACCTTTTTCAAATTCCAAGGATCCAGCCAAAATCATTAACACACCTACAAAAAAGAAACTATTACTTAAAACATATACAGTGTTGGTTTTTATTATCCAACTGCAGCAAATACCATCCAAATAACAGTACAAGTATACAGTGATATTGTACAGTTATTTGTACAGTAGAAAACCTGTTTGCCGTACAGGTTGGTGCGTGCATGCAAAACTGTCACACTCTCCCTCTTACGTTGATAAATTTATTGACTACACCAGTAGAATAATAAATCTCTCATTAGAAGTTTTGGTGTGTAGTGTTGCTTTATATTTTTACTTGTTGTTTGTATTTTGACTCGCCCTACAGGCTCGTCAAAATACAGCACAACTCATAAAAATATACAGCGATACTACACGCCAAAACGTCTAATAAGATATATGTATTGTAATATTTACACAGTTATCTGTGACACAAATTACTCAGGGGTTTCAATAAGGACCAGGCACCGGACAAATTGACCAGCTGAGAAAATGGTTTTGCCCAATTTTGACCATCTCGGGGAAATTTCTTCTTATAAAGAAATTCAGTTCAAAAGGTTTTGCCCTGTGAAACCAGTTGCCCTCCAGCTGAAAATGTTATTGAAACCACTGATTACTGCTCTTTATATGCATGCATGCAGCTTTAATGTATGAACATTGGATTTTTAAACATGGTCGACTCTTCTTCGTTACGTACGTTTAGTCTGCATGGTAGGTGTCTTGTGAAAGAAGTAGTAGTACAGTTGAGTAGTATCCAGTAGAATCTGTTCACAGCTGTACTGAATTGACTTGTACCACCAGGTTCCCTAATGAAAAATAAAAAAGAAAAAAGAAAAATGTAGTAAGAAGTAGTACGTAGTAGTAAGTTAGATGATGATTATAGAATGTAAGATAAATGAAATCATAACATTTTTTTTTTGTTTAACTAACCCACATGGAGTTTTCCTTGCTTACAAGCCAGGAGGGCAAAGCTATACCGAAGCTTGTTGCTGAAAGACATGAGAAATGTGTTACAAATTAAAACAGTAAGTAACCTTTTTAGCAACAGTTTCAACTAGTCTCCTATTATACTTTAAATTTTCGATTAGCCTTCTCTCCCTCCACCACTGCTGGGAGTCAAGACAATACATTATTTCAAGGTAACTAATATTTTACAGTGCAACTACTCTAACCAAGGCCACCCCAAAAAATTTTCTACAAATTTAATGAATCAAAATCGTGGAGGTTACCAATAGTTTTCCAACAAATTATCCAAAATGACCACAAATCTGTTGCCTTTGTAATGTAGAGCTTGATCACGTGGATAATTTGTTGCAAAACTACTGTTAACCTCCAAGATTATTATTAGTTTAATTTGTGGAAAATTTTGTTGGGTGGCCTTGGTTGGAGTAATAACACTGTAAAAATTATTCAATGACCAAATGAAATATAGGTTGCATTCAGTTGTTACCTTTTAGTGGCAATTAACGTTTACAAAATATCTGATTGAAGATTACAAATAAGTGCCCCCTCCCTCCCCCATCTGGCCTTCTTCTCACTTATAAGCCCCATCTCTATTCATCTTAAAAACAAATACCATAATGGGATTTGAGGTGGCTGGTAACAGTCCAATACCACCACTGTTTATCAAGTGATGCTCCAACATAGGTATCACATAAATGCCCACTTATTTGGAAACAAGTTGTGGTGTTACCAAAGCAACAACACACCCTGTTTAAAACACCCTTAATTTAGCTTAAAGTGCCCATAATTCAAAAATGGCTCGGTGAAACCTTTTTTAATCTCTGAATATTGATAAGCATGATAAGAGACACTGTTAAAACATAAAATTTAAAAATTCTGTGGGTAGGGTTCAGAGCCACCTTAAAGTTTTGAACAGTTACGGTGGCTCTGGATCTTATCTACAGAATTTTTTTAAACTTTGCAAAAAGTTGTATCTTATCATGCTTATCACAATTTGATAAATGATAAAAAAAAGGTTTCGCGGAGTCATTTTTGAATTATACACACTTAAAGCTAAAATTAAGGGTGTTTTTAACAGGCCATATTATTACTTTGGTAACCTATTATACCATGAAGATGACTACAACTTGCTTAACAATGACTGTGCATTTATGTGATACCAATATTGTAATATTCCTTGACAAAGGGAGCTGGTATTGACCAGTCAAAGTGCAACTGCTGGAAAGAATGAGAAACTGTTACCAGCCACCTTGAATTAGTTAACGGAATTCAAATTTAAATAAATTTCAGGTGTAATACCCTATTCAATATTCACATCAACTTTAATGAATAACATTTCGACTAATATTGCTACAAGTTCATGTCAAAAGAGTCTAAGGATAACGTAAGCTGGAGTTTTTTTTAATCTTTACATACCTCCCGGTCCGTCAGGATTACCATGCTCTTCCCAATTTTTTCTTGATTCCTCATTTGTTAGCCTGTTAAAGAAAACTAAAACTTCAACAAACATTTCAGGAACAAAAAAAAAAACAAGAACAACAACTCTTGTGTATTGCCACTAAAGACCTTTTGTCATAAAGGTGAGATGGAGCAAAACATAGAAGAGTACATTATTTAGATAGACCAATGTACTATTACAATATAGGCCACTGACTTCCATGATTGGTTTAAGTTCAATCTAAAGAAAGGAAGGACATATTTAAAGAAAACAGGAATGAAATATGCATTCTCTAATAACTTCTCCTAGCATAGAGACAGTGACTGAAGAAGACAGTTTTCTAAGAACTTACTAGTAATTTTAATCCCCTAAATATGCTGGTTCAAATCTTTACATACCGGTAACTAAGTAATATGTCAAACAACCAGGACTAGGAAATTACGACACTCACGCTTCATAAGCCTTTGCTATTCTCATGAACTTCTGTGGGTCACCTGTGTCCTTATCAGGATGGTATTTCATACTTAGTCGCCGATACTGCCGTCTAATATCTGCTGTTGTTGCGCCCTAAAAGATTCAGATTTTAGTCTTGATAAGTACCTTTGTATTTTACAGCTATACATAAACCTAAATAAAATGATAATGAGAGCAACTGATGATAGAGTTCTCACAGCTACATTGTATCAGCTATGTTGTGTATTTTATTAAGAGAATGCAATGCTTACGATATTATAATACGAAAAAAATCATTCATGTCTGGAGTGAAGACTGATTCTCTCCGAGTGTAGTGAACACAGAATGTTTTAGGGTAGTGGATGCAACTTTTTGCTAAACCTTTACGCACACTCTCTGGGCAAGTGTCTTCACCTTTTCTGCGATTTGTTTTTGGAGGTCACTTTGATGGCAATGTCTCACATACCCTTAGAATAACATAAAGTAAACTGTTGTCAGACTTTCAGTGCAAAGAAGCCTCAGATCAGAGTAGTGAATCTAACTATGAATTTGAGGCTACATATATCTTTGAACCTTCTGGCCCTTTGTAGCACTGTCCATAACCAGAATAAACAAAATCTGTGACTGACAATTATTTTTTGGCAAGACATTGCAGCTTAGTGGTTAGCAAATTGGAATTCTAGACTTATCAAGTGGTCTGAGTTTGAAGACTAGGCAAGGTAGTGTCCTATAATTCAGGTTACCTCTCTCTAGTTAGGAGTGTAAGTCAGAGCACGAACAGTTACTCCTGCGATACTTGACAAAATATGGAGGGAGATTACTGTAGCCTATGCAGGACAAGGCTCCTCTTGACTAGAAATTCAGGTTCAGTCAAAAAAGTTATTTATTATACTCTGAAATACCAAACAACACCACCCCCATCTTCTCCAGTCCCTAGAAGCACCAATTAACCACCCAGGGGGAAGACGGGAGGGGGGGGGGGTATAAAGAAAGCACACAAAGTGGGACTACCTCTAGTGGAATGAGAAACTTTGGCACCATTAGAGACTGGAGAAGTTTGCCATGACTTACCCTATCTAACTCTAGCACAGCGTACGGATCATACTCGGTGAAGTCTTTCTCAAACTGAGAGATCTTATAAGCTCCAACGAAAAACAAAACCCAAAGAACTGCTAAAACTGAAAGACTGAAAATGACAAGTAAGAGTTAAAATTATATGAGCAGATTACAGGTGTACTCATTGAATAATAATTACAGAAATATATTTGAGTTTAATGTGAACACTTTCGAGGTTCCAGTTATATTGAGGAGTAAACATGTTGCTCAATATTTTTCCTAAAAATATTCCTGCCAAAAATTGGACAATCTCTCCGGTTTCCTAGCAAACATTTGCTGGTATGAGAAAAACGTTTAATACAGTTGTCATTCCCGTAACTGCCTCCCTTCAGAGTGACTTTTCCACTTGTTAGCCAAAACAGTTGTAGGTAAATATTATTTCTGTTAGTAAGTGTAAAGAATGTATTTTTAAGCTACATCATAACTTAACTTGGGCATGAAAATTATGTAAAGAAGTCAATATTAAATAACAAGCTTGAATTTAAAAGAAGTGAATATAAGGCTTCTGAAACTTGGATATGTTCAAACTGAATTGAATCTTCTCAAATTTCGTGGCGTCGTGTTTCTTTTTTTTTTGGTAAAATAGTGTAACAATAACAAAACAAAATTGATAAAACCGTTTCGCTTTCAAAACAGCAAAATTACTCCATTATTTCTCTGAGTCTAACAAAAAGATAATCTCAGGACTAAAAGACACGTCATTTCTAACGAGATCGAGCCGGCCATATGACTGGCAGATTGAATTGGACTTACCTCGCATAGCGGATACTTTTTGATTTCGGCTCTTTTTTTCGTAAAAGCTCTCGTTTTTCTACGCAGGGTGGACATCTACATATCTTAACGGCTCTTTTCTGATCATCTAAAATGTGAAGACAAGAACCTCGTCAAAACGTGGGGGAAAAAAAGCGTCAAAAAGGCAAATCACTGGCCAACAGCTGAGTGAGAGAAAATACCGGAAGTTTACAGTTACCGTGTGGTAACTAGTAAGACATTTCTATACTTACCTGGTAATTTTGTGATCTTCCAGACATAATAGGTTACGGGTACGAGGACTATACCAAAGAATGATATAAGGAAATAATAGAAAGTGGTGCCTTTTTCATCGTACTCGAATTGAGCGCCGGCCATGTTGGTTTTAGAAGAAAAGAAACCGTGGGTTGGCCAGCGGTTTTCATAGAAGTGCCAAGAGACTGGGACTGAATAAAGGGTTAAATTCATGCAGTGATCGTCTGGATTTTACCAAAATACAATGTACTCTGATGAACTGCGATGCGAAGAGAATTTTTTCTTGTGTGAAGAGTTTCTTCATCTGTGGGATTTTCAAAGTCACTACTGTTCAATTTTGGTACCGCGGGAAACATATTATTTGGTCGATCGCGCGCAGAAAAGAAAAGGCGGGAAAATTTCACCGGCTGTCAAAGGTCACGCGTGCGGCCACTGTAAGTAAAATCGACACAAGAACATGTAGTTTTATAGATTAGGTTTTTCTCTGTTTATTCTTGGAAGTGTAATAGGTATTTACAAATTTAATGGAGGCAAAGAGTATCCCAGAAGTGGCGTTCGAATGGCTGTGTGAATGTGGGGCCTTTGACCAGCTCAAGAAGCAATGTGAATGCTACACAGCAGATTTTGCGGTATGTGTGTTTTCTTTCCATGATTTGACAGAAAATGTTTATTTGGTTGATGAGACACATTTTATCTCACTACACCGGCCTATAATATTCGATAGTTAATAGTTAACTGAGAAATTTTTTCACTGGTGAGAACATACAGGATCAGCTTCCAAAAAGCTTAACGACTTAACCTTACATGAAAATGAACATGCTTGTGGGTAAAACTCATTTTCACGTAAGTTTAATCTTACAATTAAAGCAGATAAAAGGTTTTACACCAGGAATTGTTAAACAGGAACTCTAAATGGTCTATTCGAGCTGGCATCAAATGCACCTTTTACGGTAACTGCAGAAATTCTCCTGCACTCATTGGCTAATTTTCATTGTCAATAGGCAGACACACACATGAATATATAATTTACGCTATGCGTCGATGAGCGCGAGTGGACAATTTGACGATTTGTTAAATTGCAAAAAACAAATTGACGTCAGTTTTTCATGCATCTGTCCTGTTATTAACAATGAATTTTGTCATAACATTGTCAAAGAAGCAGACTTAACAATAGTTCATATTGTGTGATCATCCAGGTGAGGGTAGTTCTGAAAAGAACTGTTGCTGGTGACTGACGTTTCGACAACCTGAACGGAAGTCATGTTCAGAGTCACTCTGAAGATGACTTCCGCTCAGGTTGTCAAAACGTCAGTCACCAACAACAGTTCTTTTCAGAACTACCCTCACCCGGATGATCACACAATATGAACTACTGATACTCCTGGGTTCAAACCATTTACTATGAGACTTGACAATGTTATGATGAAATTCATTAACAGCAACAGGACAGATGCGTGAAAAACTGACGTCAATTTGTTAAATTGTTCTAAGTATGCCGCATACACAAATTATACCTGGCGTGTTATTCTTAATTTATTACCAGTCCTTTGAGGGCACATCCTTGCTAAGGGCCCATTCAAGCCCAAAGAACAACCATCTGGGTAAATTTCAGAACATGGGAGAAAAGGGTCTTTGTCTAGTACTTACTTGCTTTACACCATGCAGATCATTGTTTTACCCTGGCACTGCACAGTGATTCAATTCTCAACTCCCATTTTCTGAAATTGTGTGGTTCCAGAAAATATCCATGCCCACTACCAGAAGGGTTAATGGAAATTCCGAGGGGGAATTTTCAGTTAAAGGGAAGTATCAGCCAAAACTGGAATTTCCTGACTGGGAGATTCAAACTGAAAAAAAACCTTCTTTGAGAGGGGTAAGGATATTTTCTGGACCAACATATTTTGGTCTGTTGTGAGAATTACTCCACAAAGGATTGGGGTGTACTCAGTAAAACCATCAAGTTGTTGTGTTTACAGCATTAGCAAAATGGCAGTGAAATCTGCCACTCACAGTCAAAAGTGTGTTCAGGTGTCCCCTCATTCCCCCACCCAATCCAAAACTTGCTGCACAGGACCTGATTGCTCTAGCTCTCTGTGGAAGTTCTTAGCCATTTTTTTCTGAGAGTGAATGTTTTCTGATTTTCTCATTTTATGCAGGAAAAGACTGTTTATAGATTTGTTTTTGGAATGGACTTGATGCATTTGCTGGATTTTAATGGTATGGCTCATAAAGCAAGTTTAACCCCTTCAATTTCCAGTTCAAAATTTACTATGCTTGTTCAGCTCCTCCAGTTTTTGCTAAACTAGCTACTGCATTATTTGGTCTTGTAGCTACACTTGGGAATCTGGCTTTAACTGAGCCTTTGAATGCCATTAATGTGTTTCAAGAGGTAAGATGGCTGATTTGTTTGGTAGATCAACGACATAAAACTGTTACCTATTATTTATAGTTGTAAAGAAAGAGGGACTCTGTTTCACCACTTTAATTATTATAGAACAGGCTTAAAAGTTGGATCCAGAAAAAGAGTGAGTACATCAAGATCGGTAACTAACAATTACTGGAGAATAACTGGTTTACTCTCTAGCTCTAAACTCTTTGTAAAAAACATTCAAACCATCCTTGTGAAATTCTCACTGTAAGTGTCAATAGTGCATGAAAATTGGTATTCTAAATCCTGGGGAAAGGACTCCCATATAAAAAGAACAGTGATGCTCGTCAGTAATTTTGAAAAGAATCCCTAAGAGGTACCAAGATGCTGTTCTGTGGGCGTGGCTTGAAATGTTTTTCACCCCTAAGAGGTACGAATTCTATAACAAAATATTATGTCCTGCCATATTTTTAGGGGCCAATACCCCAAAAGGAGCAGCAAAAGCTCCCGCTGTGGACCTTTTGGAACATAACTGCTTTCTTTTCTTTTTCTAGGTGTGTTTTGTTATTATTCACACCTTATCATGGATACCTGATTTGTTGTTCCCATCACAAGTTCTTGCTGTGGTCAGGTTTTCGTCAGTTTCACCACGTCAGGAGTAAGGTTTTGTTTAAAAAGTGGTTTAAGTGCCAGTATGTACTTAAAATACATAGGACAAGTGAATGGGCTGATGAAAAGGTCAATGGACTCTGTTTAGATCAAGCAATTTGGGTTGAAGGACTGGTTGGAGTTATTGCATTGTGTTCTTGGGCAACACACTTAACTTCCTTTGTCATCATCCAAAATCCAAAACCTGGGTCTTCTGGTAATTTTTTATCTGTTGTGTGCAGCTGTTACAGAATTATATAACAAAAAGATATCAACAACGGCTATCTTATAAAACAATAAAAAAGTATGAAAGCTAGTTTTGACATTTTTGAATGGCAGGTGTGTAACCAGTAAGAACCTTGCTAAATATGGTGGATCTAATCTTGTAAAGATTGTTGGCATTGTAACTGGAAGAACAGCTGTCACCCAGTACACGTGAGTATCAACAGCCTATGGATGTATTAAGTGTCTTCCTCTGATCCTTTAGGACTGTTATTTTCTTAGTGTAGTATAGTGTAGCATGGCATGATATGACATTGGTAGTTAGTTTTAACAACTTCTTGGACTTTTTGTCTTAGCCAAAGTGCAAGATTCTATTGTCCTCAATCTGAGTGCTTTGGTTCTGCTAAATATTGTTACATCAGAGTACACTTGGCTGGAAAAACTGAGAATGTTACAATTAGGTAAGTTGTATACTTGAGACCCAAAGAAAAACTCTTGTTGAATCCTTCCATCGGCACTGTGGTTATATATGTACAATAGGTAGTTTTAAAAAAGCTGAAATGCTGAAGATGCTTGATTTTGTTTACCTACAGCTATTCTAGATCAGTTTTTATTCAATGTTTTGTTACTCACTCTTGCATTTGTTATCTAGAAGTGATTTTGTGTGCAAATATTGTGGATCCTCTCTTATTGAAGATGTCACATGCCGTACTTTAGCAGGTAATTGCCAAATTATATTGTTGCTGTAACCTTAAAAAATTTGTTGTGTACTAAGTGCTTGGATATTGAAAGTATTTTATGTTTAGTTTCTTATTTTATATATATTGATTTGTAAATTGATTTTATATTTGCCAGATATTTTATCTTCTTTACTGATATGTTTATTTTAGATTGCCACTGTGTGCCTCAGCGTGAGATTTTGACCATGTATTGATTATAAACAGTCACTGTCTTTTTTCTCAGATAAGTGTATTGTGCAAGTACTATCTCCCTTAACAGTACACAAGAATCTATGGATCAACACTGATGAAGGAAAATTCTACCAAGCTATTCCAATTTATGTCAGAGGTAAAAGATAACAGCCACTACTCAGTCATTAATGTAGGGACAGGGAGCTCTACCTAAAAAGAACCTAAAAGAAACTCTGTGCTTATTTCTGTCTAAGAGTCTAAAATGATTTAGTCCACACAGTCTCACAGTCTTTGTGTAACTACTAGGTTGTTAGTGATCTTGGCATCTTGTTGAGTCTCAGATTTAATCATTCATCATCCCTCAATTTGTACATGCAGTTTTATCAGAATATTGTATGTGTACAAGAGCAGCTTTTTTTCTTTGATTTATATACCTTTTTATCAGCTAATTTCTTTATTGTCTCATGTTGTCTTTTGAAAATTATTTCCTTGGATAGATGAGCTTATCAAGGAAGTTCAGATTGGCTGCTACTTTTCATTTGTTGTTTTACCTTCCTGTGAAATCCATGATTCATCTGTCCACTTCCTTTGTACTCCAGTGTTTGAGGTAACATGCTGTCTTGTTATCAGTGAAATTATGTCTAAATAATAGAATTATTTAATGATGAACATCTGGAGAATGTGTGAAACTGTAGCTCTATATCTCATCTTAAACTTGGATTAGTTCAGTTATGGCCAGAACTGGACTGTAACTTTGACATGAATTCATATGACTGCGAGATAAAGCATCTTGTCCTGTTTAAAAAATTCTACATTTTGGCTGTGGAAATGGCATGTTTCACCATAATTTATTTATTTGTTGTTAGGTCCTTTGGACATTTATATTCAAATAAGTGTTATTGTAGCAACTAATTTAGGGATATTGATAATTTTTTACAGGCAAATAACATAGAGAAGGTAAGACTTTTCTGGTCATTTATGGCATTCTGTCTTGATAT